GTATATCTCATACGACCCTATGACAATAATAACTGAGAAAGAACAAATCACAGAGGAAGATATAAATAAAGCACTAAAGAAATCCAAAAACAATAAAGTACCAGGACCAGGGAACCTAAAAATGGAACTGCTGAAATATGGAGGCACAAGGATAGTATCCTCTATACGAATGTTGTTCAATAAAATCGAAGCAGTGGAGAAGATTCACGATGAGTGGAATTTATCATACATGTCCTCCATTTTCAAAAAAGGTGACCCAAGGTCACCAAATAACTACAGAGGGATCAGTGTAATGCATTCAATAGCTGGATTCCGAAAAGCCAGATCATGTTTAGATAATAAATTCATTATGAGACAGGTGATTGAAAAGAACAAAGAAAAAAACATTGAATCACATATGACCTTTATCGACTTAGAGAAAGCATACGATAGCGTGCCCAGGAAACAACTATGGGAAGCAATGAGAAGAATGCGCGTTAGAGAGAAATGGGTGAATATAACACAAAGACTGTATAAAGAAACACAAGTACAAATAAAGTTAGGTAATAAAATAACAAAACAATCACCGCAACAAAAGGCCTCAAACAGGGATGTGGTCTCTCACCTACACTTTTCAACATATATATTATAGATCAGGCTTTGAAAAGAAAAAAGAATATGAACTCAAGATAAATATGTATTGGACCGGAGGTTACAGATTTGAACTTATGCTTAGAAGAAGAGACTATTAAGAGTTGTAAGACTTTTAAGTATTTAGGGCCAATGATTAGCCGAGATGGTACTTGTATGAAATATATAGAAATGAAAACACCACGGGAAAAACAAGCCACAACAGCACTCCATGAAGTGATATGGAACAACACTCTAACCAAAGAAAACAAAAAGAGGATCTTTCAAAGCATAGTGATGAATATTACCCTATATGGAGCGAAAATATGGCCAATGACAACAACAATACGAAATAAAATAAGAAAAGTTGAAGTGGACTTTATGAGAACATGTCTACAATTCACAAGAGCGGATATAATAAGAACGGAGGCAATATGGAACAGAATGGAACAGAATGCTCAATTACAAAAAAGTTGGAAAACAAAGTCCTGCAGTAAATAATTAACTGGTACCCGCCAGGAAGAAGCTGGAGAGAAAGACCTGCTACAAGATGGAAAACATACGTCGGAAATGCTATGATAGATAGAGACCTCAGAGAAGGTGACTGGGAGAATAGAGTTCTGTGAAGGACGAAAACGGTGAACTCATAATGGGAAAAGCCGAAGAAGAAGAAGAAGAAGAAAAATTTTGATTAAAATTTATAACCGGGTTAAGCAAAGAGTAAGAAACATTAAAATATTTGGACTTTTAAAAAATGTTAACATAAAAAACTGGCAGCCACTAAAGTTGGTAGAGTGTACTCCAAACAAATCTTTTTCGCACATTCCCAGCAAATTGGTTTTTGACAATGAAAGCATACATAAGCTTCAGAATTTTTTAGGTAGGGATATATTCCACTTACAGAAAGCGATGTCGTCTGAGAGAAGGGACGTTAGTAATTAAGGGTTAAAGAAGGTACTCTTTTTAAGGAGCGACAGTCCACTTGGTGTCTCGGTCTCGTCTATCTGTCACCTGTCTCGGTCTTCTGTGATGAAATGCTACCATAACTGTAATTAATATTATTAAAATGCTTTTGAAACTAATAAATAAAATAAACTAGGGAACATTGTCTTTCTTAATTACTATTTATAACTGGGAATAAGCCACAATTAAAGATAAAAAATACGTTTATTGACGTTTCAATTTCCAATTCGGAAATCGTTCTCAAAATACAAACAGTAAATTAAACAAATTTTGTTTTTTGTTACATAGTGAAAAAATTCTTCTAATTATTTAATTTTATCTGGCTCATTTATATTGACAATTCAGACATACATTATGCATTTTAAAGTAGACGACTTTAAAATGATATTGCCAATATTGTTGAGTTGCGCTCCTGGGACGACTTTACTATAAGATAGTTCATTCGATTACATGAAATCAACTTTAACTTGAGATTATCCGTCAGAAAAAATCATAGCATGTAATTCGTCTTTAAAAAGACAAACACATGACATGATGACAGTAAAATTCTCCTGTTAGTGATTCCATAGTAAATTATGAGGGAAAAACCAGGAAAAAAACCTCATAATACTATCCCGACATTGTAAGTATTTGTTCGTGAATTTAGTTTACCTTCAACAAACATCAAAATTCTGATTTTATATGTTACGTTATTTAAAAAACATAAATGATGTATCTTCTATATGTTACTGACTTACTAATACTGGTATTTTCTTATTAATAACTTCCTTTTTCAATATTGGTAACCAGATCCTACTACATTCTGCCGAGGAATTTGCGACACAATTGGCCTCATTTAGCATAATTAGAGCCGCTTCTTTGATTTTTCTTTTTTTACCATCCGTTTCTTTTAGGACTATATTTGAATTATTCCATTGAACCCTATGTTCATTATCCTATGCGTGTTTACATATTTGAGATCTATCAAATTCTCTATTTTTAATATAAGATTGATGTTCACTTATTCTAACATTTAATGGCCTTTATGATTCACCTAAATAAAACTGATCGCATTCACAAGGTATTTTATAAATGCAATTCTTTGTCCTTTCTTGTTCATTGTTAGGTTTGGTTTTGGACAAAATAGATCTCAACGTGTTTGTTGTTTTGAATGTTGTTGAAATGTTGAATTTATTTCCTATCCTTTTAAGTTTTTCTGATAATCCTTTTATGTACGGTATTGTTATTTTCCTCATATTATTCCTTGTGTATGCTGTAGGATCTCGTTCTAAGTTGTTCTGTTCTATTCGATCGATTGTTGAAAATTCCTTATTTATAAACGATAAAGGATAATCATTTTTTAATAAAACAGATGTTAACAAATGTTTCTCCTCCAAGAACGAATTTTCGTTAGAGCAAGTAATTTTGGCTCTATCGTATAAGGATTTAATTATTCCCTTTTTTACATTAACATTATGATTTGATTTGAAATTTAAATATCTATTGATGTGTGTTGGTTTTCTATACACCTGAGTCTCATATCCAGTATCGTTCTTAGAGATTAAAACATCCAGGAAAGGTAGCGTGTTATTATATTTCTTTTCCATGGTAAATGTTATTGTCTCTTCTTTATCATTTATATCATTTAGGAATGTGTCCAACAACTCTGATCCATGAGGCCATATTGAGAATACATCATCTACATACCTAAACCATACTGTGGGTTTGAAATTTTGTTTAGAAATGATATTTGTTTCAAAATGTTCCATAAATATATCGGCTAAGAATGGAGATAAACTAGAGCCCATTGCTAGACCAAAATTTTGTTTATAGAATTCATTATTTAGTTGAAAGTATGTATTATCAGTACATAATGTTAATAACTCCATTATAGCCGATATGTTTAGTCTTGTTCTAGTTGCCAATGAATCATCACTCTCTAATTTTCTCTTGACTATACTTAAAGTCTTATTTAATGACACATTCGTAAATAAACTATTTATGTCAAAATTATATTAAAAATAGAGAATTTGATAGATCTCAAATATGTAAACACGCACGGGATAATGAACATAGGGTTCAATGGAATAATTCAAATATAGTCCTAAAAGAAACGGATGGTAAAAAAAAAATCAAAGAAGCGGCTCTAATTATGCTAAATGAGGCCAATTGTGTCGCAAATTCCTCGGCAGAATGTAGTAGGATCTGGTTACCAATATTGAAAGAGGAAGTTATTAATAAGAAAATACCAGTATTAGTAAGTCAGTAATATATAGAAGATACATCATTTATGTTTTTTAAATAACGTAACATATAAAATCAGAATTTTGATGTTTGTTGAAGGTAAACTAAATTCACGAACAAATACTTACAATGTCGGGATAGTATTATGAGGTTTTTTTCCTGGTTTTTCCCTCATAATTTACTATGGAATCACTAACAGGAGAATTTTACTGTCATCATGTCATGTGTTTGTGTTTTTAAAGACGAATTACATGCTATGATTTTTTCTGACGGATATTCTCAAGTTAAAGTTGATTTCATGTAATCGAATGAACTATCTTATAGTAAAGTCGTCCCAGGAGCGTAACTCAACAATATTGGCAATATCATTTTAAAGTCGTCTACTTTAAAATGCATAATGTATGTCTGAATTGTCAATATAAATGAGTCAGATAAAATTAAATTATTAGAAGAATTTTTTCACTATGTAACAAAAAACAAAATTTGTTTAATTTACTGTTTGTATTTTGAGAACGATTTCCGAATTGGAAATTGAAACGTCAATAAACGTATTTTTTATCTTTAATTGTGGCTTATTCCCAGTTATAAATAGTAATTAATTTACAATGCCACAAGAAAATAGCTTCAGAACAATATTGTCTTTCTTCTTTAAGTTCTATCTCCTACTGAAGTTTGGAAATTTTCCACACAGCACATTTCGCTTTCCTCGGATTTTGTTTTTCATAAAAAGTTTTATTAATGCGTATTTTTTCCCTCTCGTCACATGTCCCAAGTACTCAAGTTTTCGTCTTTTAATAGTTAATATTATTTCCGCCTCATTTCCTATCCTTCTTGTTACTTCCATGTTTGACATTCATTGAATTCATGATATTCGTAGGATTCTTCTGTAACACCAAAATTCAAAGGCGGCCAACTTATTCAGATGAACTTGTTTTACTGTCCAAGCTTCCAAACCATAAAGAAGAGTAGAGAACACGTAACATCGAAGCATTCTCAGGCGTAGTTCTAACCTTATATCCCGACATCAAAGAAACTTTTTAAGTTTAATAAATGATGTACGTGCTATTTCAATACGTGTCTTAATTTCTTTGGTTTGGTCGACATCTGATGTTATCCATGTTATCCATGTAGGGAACACTGTAGAATAGAATATTGTTATTTTACATAATGGTGACATCTTAATTAATTATTATTTTTATTTTTAGCGGACCTACTTAATGTTACCACCGGCCTCTCAATGGTCTGGCCATCAGCAGTACTCGAAAAATTACATTCCACTGACCCAGAAGTAAACCCATTACCAGAACCACTTAAACCTATAGAACTTTCAATAATGATGGCATCCTCAGGAGTTGCTTCTTTAATAAGTTTCTTCGTGATGGCAAAAATTTCAGACCGTGTAGGAAGAAGACTAAGCATGAGATATCTGGGAGTTGTATACGCCGGAACATTTGTTGCAATGGGATATGGAAGACATGTTTATGTTTATGTTATAGCGTTTTTCATAAATGGACTTGCAGCAGCTGGAATATTTATAAACGTATCTATTTATACTGGTGAAATTTCTGATGATCGAAATAGAGCTTTGATAGGTTGCTTATTTGGTCTTATGACTCCTGTTGGAAACTTTTTTGGTTATTCGTTTGCTGCAATTGTAAATAGTGTAAAGGTATTTAGTCTTATTTGCACAATACCCGCAATATTACATGTGGTATTAACGTTTTTTATTGTTGAATCGCCGACATTTCTAGTAGGAAAGAACAAAAAAGACGAAGCTATATTAGTTATAAAAAAGCTTAGACATTATGCTAATATTAGCGATGCTGAGAAGGAATATGAGAACATTGTAAACTTTAATTCTAGTTGTAACACAGAACAAAAAACCATTTCGGATCTTGTTCGTAATCCTATTTCGCGTAAAGCGTTATTGTTGGGATTTACTCTGTTAAGCGCACAACAATTTACTGGTACTAACACAATTATATCTTATGTAGTCCCAATCTTTAATGAAGCAGGAGCTTCCTTATCAGGCACAGTAATAAGTATTTTGCTTGGTTTGGCTCAAATGATAGTTACAATTGTAGCCACATCAACTGTACACAAATTTGGTCGAAGACCATTACTCGTATTATCTTCTTGTATGTGCACAGTTTTGCTCTTTTGTTTAACATTTTACTTCTACATAAAAGACACCAATTTATCATTCGTGAGCAGTATTCGTTGGCTACCAATTGTCTGCGTAATATTGTTCTTTGTTGGTTATGGCATAGGATTAGCTCCGATACCAGTAGTTTTAGTAGGAGAATTATTCCGGAATGAAATAAGAGCTGTTGCTTTAGCGGTGGTTGTCATTGCGCAATGTACATTAACTATTATCATAAGTTTCGGTTTTCCCATAGTCTCAGAGTCCTTAGGAATTTCTATTTGCTTTTTAGCATTTAGCATTGGGACTCTAGTTTGTTTGATTTTGATATATCGATACGTACCCGAAACTAGAGGTAAAAGTTTTCAAGAGATTCAAGATATTCTTAGTGGACTCATTAAGTCGTGAATGTAAGAAGTAAAATGGTTGGATTTTGTAAATTTAAATACCTGTAAAATACGATTTTACTATTATGTACATAGATTTAAAAATTTTGTAAATCACCCAAGAGAAAATAATATTTACACGTAAAGTACTATAGTGCGTTTAACAGACCAAACAACATTTTTTGTTTTATTGAATGCGGCTGGTCTTATTTACTCCGAAATATTAATCTGACTTCAATGCAAGCGAGTCTAAGCATAAAAAATCAATTTGTCCATTTTAGTTTGATATGGTATGAGATTTATTATTAAAATACCTTAATATTTTTATTTGATCTCAAAATAGCTATTATACAAAACAGAATTAAACGAAGCGCAAGATTTTGGAGTTTTATTTTTACAATTTTCCCGTCTGCATCTAGTGTTTTTATATCGAAATAATATTTTTGGTATTATTTATAACTGGACTGTTCTGAAGACACACATTTCCGTGGCCAAATTTAGGGGAAGGACGTCGAAGATGACGCACCTAAGCAAAATACATTTTATTTAAGGGTAAAAAATATTTAAGCTAACTTTGAATGCTACGAGCCTGTAATTTGGACATTGCTATAACCAATTTCTAGGATTATTTTTAAATTCAATAAAAGGAAGTATTTTTTATGCAACTTTTTTAAAAAACGCTTTTGCGCCATCTTACCTTCCACCGAGGGAAAGATGACGCACATTGATGGTGAAGATGGCGCATGTAGGTATCTATATTAAAAGCGCAAGTGATATGAAAAGAAAATTTATTTTTTAATACTGAAAGTAAGAAAATGTAAACAAAGCTTTTTTAACATATTAATAAAAGTCACAAATGTAGTTATCGGGACTTTTGGCTCCACTGCATTCTATATGCACAATTGTCCTCAACTTGTGCATCTGAACCATGTTTCCGTCTTTTTGCCGAAGTCTCCACATAATATGCAGATATCAGTTTCACCTCCCTCGTTGATTATGTCATCCAACTCATCGTCATTGCAAAGACCTTCTTCATCAAAATCGCTTTCTTCAGTATCGCTATCCTCCAAGATTTTTTTGTTTATTTTTTGTTTGATTATTTTTTGTACTTTGGCTTTCCCTTTATTTTTATTTAGTTTTAATCCTGCATGATTAACCAATACTTGTCTGGTTACTTTTTTCTTTTCTTCTTCCGACTTCGCCAGTTTTTCTTTTTTTTTATTCTCTTTTTCTTCTAAGAATTCTTTTAAAGGGGTGCTTGTTAGAATTTCAGAATGTTGCTTTTGTCATCCATATTTTCTTTTAATTTTTTTATTGGGCAAAGGAACTGGAGAAATAAGGGAAAGAGAAATATGTAGACGTTTGGTTATTTCATTTTGTTTTGTGGGGGTTGTGTGACGACTTTTAGGAGAATGTCGGCTGGTTGATGGACGTGGTAATTCTGGTTCTCTTATAGATGGTGTTGTTATTAGTGGAGGTGTTCCCTGAGGTGCAGGTTCAGGAGAAACATCTCTATCCAAGCTATCATTGTTTAAATTATCAGCAGGAAAAAAGTCATCTTCTGTGAACTTATCAGAGTTTAACGGAAAAATTCCGCACGTTCCAGAACCAGAAACGGCCTTATCAATATTTGCCACCTGATCATATGCCAACTTAAAAATGTCGGCGACATCATACGGAGTAATTTTATCTTCAAACTCTGAGTTGCTGATCTTAGATTTTAGAAAGGAATTGCAAGAGGTTGTAATTTGTGGGATGTGTGGGGTGGAATACTAACCATTATAATCCCATTCTCTTTGCAGTAATTATAAATATCCAGTGAAATATGGCTCGAGTGATTATCTAATACTAACAGCACGGGATTATCTGGACTAGACAGGACTTTTTTTTGGAAATGCTTCAGCCATAATAAAAACATAGACGTATTACTCCATCCATTATCCGTGCAGTTGTAAATCGCACCGCTTGGTCCATTTTTCTGAAGCTGTGGGCTCATTTTCTTCCTGGGAAATATAAATAATGGAGGTATGTAGTTACCGGAGGCACTGAACGCCATTATTACCGTGATAATCTTCCCTCGTTCCCACGAAGAAATGATTCCAAACTGCTTTACTTCTTTGGGTCCAAGTCTTTTACATGATTCTTTAAGAAGCGTAGATATACCGGTTTCATCAACATTGTAAATGCGATCTGGCAGAAATTTATATTTTTCTTGCACTGTTTCCAAATTTTTAAAAAAGCGGTCTACTTCTATTTTATTGAAGGCTGTTATTCTATTAATGCTTGTAGCTTCTGGCTTTCTCAAGGAAATTTGAGGATTTCGTTTTATAAATCCTAGATACCAGTCTTTTCCAGCCATTTGTTTATTCTTATTAAAATTGTGTTTAATTTCATTGCGTTCTGCATAAGCAAATGCCATGGTTCTCAGCTCTATGCAAGTGATACCAAAAAATAAATTGGCCAGCTTGAGAACATGATCTAGTATCTCCTTTTCATGATGTGCCGAAAACAATGGGGCTCTACCAAGAGACTTTGATTTGACTTCCTTTAATAAATTTTTAACCTTAGGTTTTCTCCTCAATGTAGCTTCTGGTATTGAAAATGGCCTTACCACTTCCCGAATTTTACGACCATCTCTACAAATTGCATTCAATGCTGCATTAAGAGCTGCTGCAGAAAATGATCCTCTCTGTGTTTTTCGTATATATTTTCCCATTTCTAAAAAAGAAAAAGATGCCTCAAAATGCAAAATAGACACTAAATAATAAATAGTCTATACTCCATTGTTATTTAAGGTAATGAACTGAAAAGGCAAAGATGACGCACTATAACAGCAAAGATGACGCAGTCTGCGTCAACTTAGCCTGTTCAGCATAACCTACAAAAAATGGTTATCAAAATTATCCACCATCAAATATTTAACAGATAAATCCTCGCTAACTGAAAATAAATAACACCTACTCCCATGAATATGAAGAAAATCCAATGGAACCATTTTTAAACAACTTACCATTAATATTCGCAGTGTCAAAAATAACAAGAAATCAACGTGTATCGCGTTACTCTACCTCACAGATACTAAACAGTACGAAAGCTGACCGATGAAGTTTTGAAGTAATAGTAGTTTCTAAAGGAGGGCGCCACGGGTATAAAAACTGAATTTAGTGAAGTACTTGATAAAATACAGAGGTGCGTCATCTTAGACGCTGCGTCATCTTCCCCGTCCTTCCCCTACAAATCTACTATTCCAAAATTCATCACTTGACGTATGTGCTTCTTCTCTTCAGTGCCTTATCCGGTCCAGATGTTAGCGATCATCAAGGCTATCAGGGTTTTGTTGACTGCTCTGCGAAGCAGCTCCGCGGAGGTCATCCCAAACCATTGTCGGAGGTTTTTTAACCACGAAATACGCCAAATACCCTGCATAACGAGTTGAAGAATTCGATATTTTTCTTCGTTCCGCATCACATGCCCGAGATACTCAAGCTTATGTTCTTTCACTAAATTAAGCACTTGTTTTTCTCTTCTCATGCGCCTTAGGGCCTCAACTCAACATTAGTGACATGGTCCACATACGATATTTTTAGTATCCTTCTGTAAATCCACATCTTAAAGGCTTCAATCCGCTTTTCTGTGACTTACAACTTTTTTGTTCCATGAATATGTGTTTTATGATTTTTTCAATAAAAATTTAGTATCATGGAAAATGTGTGTTTTTTGCACTCTTATATTGTTTTTTCTGTTTGCAAAATAAATCACTAAATGTTTGAAGCAAAACCACAAATGTCCAAACCTAAATTGTTAATTGCTTAAAATTTAATGAAATAATTAGGTTAATTTTGTGTATAACTAAATACAATGTATAAATTAATATAAAAAACAAAAAAAAAATGAAACTAATAAAACGCTAAAAGTTTATTAAAAATTATATTTCCTGGACAATTTGTCGAAGTGGAGATTGCTGGTTTTGCTTTTAGATCCTTCATTTTAGATTTTAGTGTAATGTGATTTCTTTATGATGAAATAAACAAAGAAATATTAAGAAATGCACTAATTCAATAAAAATTTTCAACATGAAAGTCAATATAAAATTCCAAAAAATCTAACAAAAAGTGTGTCTAATAATTTGTGAACTTTAAATAAGTGAGTATATTCGACTGAAAAACAATAAAACACTGAAAACTTTTGTTTTCAACACTTCCACAAAATTCATTTTAAATGGTTATCACTACAGCTGTTTCGCTTATAGTGCCTTTGACTTAAAAATAACCAATTTAAACAGATAGATAGATATATTTCTATACTATTTTATTCTTTATGCATTTTTAAAAGTGTATCATGGTACTAATCAACTTATTATTTTTATTTCTGGTGGTTATCAACGAACTAATTACTTCAAAAATTATATCTTTCAACACATGTTTATCATGTTGAAAACAAGAATTAAATAAATTCAAGTCAATTTAGCTTTTTATTTAGATATTGTTCTGAAGTTATTTGTTCATAGCATGGTAATACCTATTCTATATTATGTCTAATCATGTCTAATGTCTTTACAAAGTTCATATAAAATATCGGTAAAAACTTTCATTACACAGGCCTGCAAAAAAATATTTATTGAAAGTTGTTTCAAATTTGATAACTGACTTTTATGTACTTTTTTGCGTTGATTTCAAAAATGCAAACCATTTTTGTTGATCACGGCAGGTTTTTTCACAAACTAGGGAGTCTCTTTGGGTATAATAACAAAATTAAGCAATTTTTCACCTTTTTCCAACGTTATCAAATTAAGTTTATTTATTAATAATGTTCTAAAATCTAAACTAATTTCCATTACAATTATATTTCTCTTTAAGTTCCTAAGTCCTTATAATAACGCTTTTGCTTTCTGTCAAAGATTCTTTTATTGCTTTTCTGGCTGTGGACTCTTTTCATAATCCAGCTTACGTTCTATTTCCTTGGTATGTTTTTTTTTACTTCTTTGATGCCTTGGTGAAATCTTTCTCTTTACAGACTTCGCCAAGGTTTGCCGAGAAGTATCAAGATGTGAGTGGGGAAAGTGAAATTTAATGCTCATGTTACAGAGCAGCTTCTCAAAGTTGTCAATCATGTGTGCGACGATTGTTTTTTTCTAGTTTGGATATCTTTTTTTACCTAAGAAGCCAATGCCAACTAACTTAAAAGATGTACTTGCTGCCTGTATATTTGTTTCCATTTTGTCTACAAAGTTGGGATCTGTCATTAGTTTTTTGATGACAGATTTCTTTCTTTAGTTTTGGTGCGAATAAACCAGAAAACTGTTCACAAACATATCTAAAACACTCTCCTTCTTTGGTAAATGTCTTGACAAATTATTTTATCAGCCTTAACTTATTGTG